AAAATAAACAGCAGCATCATTGGCACTACTACTGACTTTTTAAAAAATCCTTTTTCTTGGAGGGCTCACACCCATACATCTGGAAAGAACGAGTGGCAGATTTTGCTGAACTATCCCAGGTGCTAACATTGCTAGTTACAGCTCTGATATTTCTAAGTACAAAAGTCATACTCTCTGTGTCTGAGAAAGTAGTTTTTCATCTACAGAAACTCAAACTGAAACATATTGTTAGGCTTTAAGGTGTCATGATAACTAGCTACCCACTTTTTGCCCTTTAACTTTGCCAACAAGAAGGGAAGTGATGCTAATGGAATGGATCTAAACATGTACAGAGTGGAGAGTTTTCATCATATCGACCAGATAGGCGGGATATAAATAAAATAAAATAAAATAAAATAAAATAAATCATTAAGCTTTTCATTCCAATAAATTACCAGTTAAGTTCAATAAACTCTTTTACTCTGTCCCAAGTCTGGAATAAAAGAATAATCCAGTTTATATCCATTATTTACTACAAGTTTTGCCTTCTGATAGAGCAGTGGTTCCAAAATTTTGGTAAACCAGGTGTTCTTGAACTGCAATTTCAGGAAGACTTCACCACCATCAGTGCTGGCTGGGGTTACTGGGAATTGCAGCCCAAGAATATCTAGGTTACCCATAATTGGGAACCATTGTGGTGCACAATGGAAATCATATAACTATACCGTGGCTTCATTTTAGAGGTTGTCAATTCCCAAATCATCATAAAGAATTCAATATATATCTCACTACTTTAGCCACACATTAATGTCTAAACTATCAACACGGATTTCAAGGAAAATATTGTTCAGATATATTATAAACCTATACATATATAAATGGATACATTTTGTACATTCCCCTCCCTCCTTACTTTCCTTTATTCGTTAATTAAAATAAATAAAAATAATCTGATATACTGTACATAATCATTTCAGGATTTTCCATTAAAACATGTAACACTTTAAAAATAAAGTTGCAAGATGCCAAGTTACTATGTAACATAACTATACAACATAGTTTTTGTTAAACGATGTGCTGCCAACACATATTGGAGTTAAGGTTGTGTAAAGATAGTCAATTATAACACTCAAATAGAAATGTATTAGACACATGTTTTAAAGAACCTCTTAAAATATAGAAAATCACTGTGATTTCAAATGACAGAAGTGGAAAGTCACATATCACACAGTTACTTTCATTTATAAACTTTTGGCATTTCTAGTTTTTAAATTAAGAATCGGAATAATTACTTAATGTTAGGATAATATTTTTTAAATTTGTTGTGTCAAAGCCATGAATTCAACTGATTTGGATATTGAACAAATGTAAGTTTATTATTTATTATATATTTACTTAATTTATACCCCATCTTTCTCCTAATGAAGGGACACAAATTCTGCCATCCTTGGTTTTTTATCAGTCACTTTAGTTTGCTGGAAACAGAAAGATAATTCCTTCATAGAGATAGACACAAAACATTCTTTGTAGAGCGCAGCTGAAAATGCCGCAGGTTAGAATTCCATTATAACAATATAAAATATCAAACCAATTATTTTCTTCCTTCAAATAATTTGGCTACAATAAAATTTCTGTGACTGTGTCTATTCAATCGTATTAGCATTAGTTCAAAATATACTAGGCAAAATCCTCTTGCATAGTTACACCAGCTAAACACTAACGGTATAACTCTGGGAAGTGAATTGTCTAAATTTAAGAAATCACCATAGGCATAATCTGTTATTTACTGAGCTGAGTAACTCAAAACACAGCAAATAACATCCAAGGTGATTTTCTAACTTGAGGCAATTCACTTTAGCATTACACTGGTGTAACTATCCGAAAGGATTCTGGCCAGTGTTATATAGTTCACAGTGGAATTCTAGCCATGTCTACTCAAAGCCCCTGAAAATCCAGCACATTTTATTATCCCTTTAGAAAGTATAGGAGCACAGACTTAAACTATCTTCCCTGAATTGTTGACCAATATATTTGCAAATGTTTAACCTGATTAAAAATGAATATACATATTGCCCTTGTCAGAAGCATTAGTTCAACACAAGCTAATGACTCTGGGTGGGAATATGAATCCACATCAAAAGACTATCCAGGAGAAGCCAGAAAAGCCTCAAGAGGCACTTGGAAGAAATATTCAAATAAATATCTGTCTTTTTATTAACTAAAAACATGGTCCTATACAATGATTTCCTTGTTGAACTGAAGCACATATATTTCCAACAGCTTCTATGGCTACGATTAACTAGGTACTGGCTACTGCAAAGATTTGTGGTTTTGGCTATGAGATCCAACATACGACAACTAGCAAACCAGTTGCTGGCTGGGGAATCCTGGGAGTCATCAGAACAAACAAACAAACAAACAAACAAACAAACAAACAAACAAACAAGCAAACAAGCAAATATTTCTGGTGTTGATGTGGCAACACAATTAAAATTAACAAAAAATGTGGTATCAATATGGAGCAAGAGCACGATTCAGTCCTGTAACAAATAAAGTATTCATAAAAATGAAAATAAGCATGCTGTTTATGAAGGCGAAACAGATTTTTCTATGCAAGGTTAGGATTCCAAATTTTAAAAGCTGATGATTATGTTACTGCAATAAAACTAAACAATAAAAAACAATGGTTCTTTTATGTTCTCTAAGTCTCATATCCTAAATAGGTATAGCAATGAAAAAGGCATGATTTTATTCTGAAAAGGACTTTTCTATAACATAGGGCAGAAGTTACATTTATCAAAACTAAATTCACACTCTGAAATACTATTGAATCTTTTTAGTAGGAGTGAAGATGCTTTTTATACAATATAGAAATTAATTCAGTGGTTTCCTACAGTAATTTATTTATTTAAACTATTTAAATAAATTATTTTAACCCATCTTTCAAGTTAAAAAGGACCCAAGGCAGCTTACAACAATTAAAAGACAGTATTTAAGATAATAACAGTGAGTATACAATACTAAAAAACATCTATGAATACTATACCAAAAAAAAAAAAGAAGCAACACTGAAACACTTTCAATGCAGTAAGATGCAATAATCCATTTTAAAAGCCCCACTCAGCAGTCATTCACTCAGGAAAAGTTTGCCTGAAGAGAAAAATCTTCATCTGCTTGCAAAAGGACAGTAAAGATGGGGCTAGACTAGCCTCCTGTGGGAAGGAGCTCCAGAGTCTTTGAGCAGCACCAGAGAAGGCCGTCTCCCATATCCTCACCTGTGAAGGTGGTGGGACTGAAAAGAGGGCCTTCCCAAGATCTTAACAATTGACTTAATAATATTTTGTAGGGTTTGTGTTTTCATGTAAGGAAAATTTGATCTCAAGTTAATAAAATGCCACAATGCTTTCCCCTGTATAACTCTCTCCCACAAATGTACACATGCACATCTTGGACCCAATGACTTGAAGACTGACAATAAAATGATACCAAGCAACATGGGACCCATTTCTTCCCAAAGGGTTGAAACTACAACAAAAGTAATTTACTTTTAATTCACTTTACCCACAGAGGCTAGAATCAAGCTGGGCTTTCTTGCACAGTGTTATTGCTCTCTAGGAAGAATGCCTTGTCAGTCTCTGGATGGCACTTACACAAACCAGGGATAACACTTAACATACAATAACACTTTAGTACAAATAATGCAAATTATACTCATCAGAGGGGATGCTTGCCTTTTTTTTAACCATCCACCAAGACTTTCATGCAAAGGACTTCTCAGTGGGGTGTTCTGCTTCTCAAATAAAAAAAACCTATTTTATTTTATGTTATTTAATTGAAATAACATCAACTGTGGGTCCTGATGGCAATTTTAATTGTATTTTAATCATTTTATATTTTATTGTATCTTAATTGAATTTTAATTGTTGTAAGCTGCCCAGAGACCTCTGGGTAGAATGGGCGGCATATAAATTAAATAAATAAATAAATAAAATTTTGTTTTATTTTACTTTTAGGTTTTTTGCATTGTTTTGTTTTGGCAGACAGATAGGTTGCTGAAATTACAAAAACACGGCAAGCAAAAATGGCATTCTTTGTCCTGCTGTTGCCTGGAGGTTAGGTATCTCACAGGGACTTGAAAATACAATGGTGCGGTATCACAATGAGTTGAGACAGAATAAACTGATGAGAATGAAGCATCTAGTGTGCTTTACGGACCAATTACCCAGAGTCTTTTTGCCCTGCCCAGGTAGCATTGCTTCCATTGTCTAAGCCACAAGAAATGCTAGAGGGAAAAGATTTTGAGTGATGGGCTATAGGGGTCACAGTATGGGAGGAGCCAACACTGTCTTCCAGTCTCCTCTTGGTGCATGAATCACACTTTCCACCCCTCAAATTCCAGGCATGACTGTAGCGCACTAACATATAAAGATATAGGTGCAGCCCATCTCATGTATTTTAGGCATGAGATGTGTCATCAAAAACCAGATCTGGGCACTCAAAGTATTTAGTGTAAGTTAACTGAAAGCTTCCTACCCCCTTCTCCAGTTTCAGGTTCCAAGGCTTGCTAAGGCTCCATTTTGGGAAAGCTTTTGGGAGCCTTGGACAGAAGGGGGATATCTTTAACAGTCAAAAGTCACAAATTGATTGCAGTCACTGCGATCAGGACTGGTGGCAATTTTTGACTGTTAAAGGCTCCTCCCATATCCCAAGGAAACAGGATGATAGAAAGCTTTCAATTAACAGGACGACAGAAAGCTTTCCATTAATGTAAATTAATTATTTCTGGCACCCAGATCTAGTTTACGATGATGTAACTTTATGCAACAGAATGTTCCTCATTAAAAGGTAAGCAAAGATATGCACTCTGCAATGCTTATTACCTGTTGCAGGTTCAGCAGTGGAAATATATAAATTAATTTGATACAGCAAAGACAGAATACGGCTTAACCTCCAACCTTCATATTTGTTTCACTGTATTTACAGATGAGGATGAATTCGGAAGTATGCAGAGCTGGTCTTACCTGCTGGATTCCATATGTCCAGCCTTGCCTGATACGATCTCTTGCCCATACGTTGTGAGCATTCTCTGCAAGCTTGTCAACCATGGATTCCTGAGATGGGGTTAGCTTGATACAACTCAGATCCATAGGAGCAGGCTTGTATCCACTAGACAACAAATAACTGTAAAATGGGGGAAATGTTGTGAGTTTGCTTTAACATGTGTTTTTCTTAAACTTTAAAAAAACACACAGAATACAGCAGAACAAGACCACACCTGACACAAACTCTCTTTGTTGCATTGTAATGCTGTTCTTTGGACCAAACCTCAGCTCATATATTCTTAGCAGCCTTCTTGAACAGTTTAACAGGAGCACTGTACAGTGGTGCCTTGACTTACGAACTTAATTCATCCCAGAAAATGTTTGTAAATTAAAACATTTGTAAATCAAAACACCATTTCCCATTGAAATGCATGGGAATGGGATTAATCTGGTCCAGCATTTGAAAAAACAAAAACAAAATAAAAATAAAAATAAACAGAGCAAGTCCCACACTGGGACTACAAAAAATAAAATAAAATAAAATCCAAAAATAAACACTGGAGCAAGTCCCACACTGGGACTGGAAAAAAAAAAATCACCAAAAAACAAAATTGATCCTCAATTCCCCCCACCAACAAAACAAAAGCCATCCACCCAAAACAGTTTTTAAACGCCTCCGAAGCCTCCCGGGCTTCCACCACTGCTGCGACCGCCACAGCCAGGAGGCTTAAGCCTGGCTGCCGTGCTTCAGCTGCTCACCTCCCACTCACTCCTCGCTGCCCTCCGCGGACTGATGCCGCCGCTGGGGCCCCAGATCAGCCGCGTTGGGAGGTGAGGCAGGAGGCGAGCAGCTGAAGCACCCCCACCAGGTTCAAGCCTCCCGACTCTGGGCCACCCCCGCCGCCGCTGCATCCCTTTCCTGAATCGTTGGGGTGAAAGAGCTACAAAGAAGCAGCCTCTTCACCACCAACGGTTAGTAGATTTAAATTTCCCACCCTTTTCCCCTGCCTTTTTTTGTTCATAAGTCAAAGCTCCGTTCGCAAGTCAAAGCAAAATTTTGCGGACGGAGCTGTCCATAACTCAAAATGTACCTAGGTCGAGGTGTTCGTAAGTCAAGGCACCACTGTACAGCATAATGTCAAGTGTGGCTACAAGCATTTCGTTATTGGTTAAAGGTGGTCTATGACCCAATAGCCTGTAGCTACCTATACGATTTGCAGAAAGATGTCTTTGCCAGCTCATGGCATAAGGGAGTTACAGAAAAACTACATCTCTTAGGCTTCTCTATGAACTTTCTACTGAGATAGCCTCAAGGTAGCATTAAACCAATACTTATTCAATGTATTAAAGATATAGACCTTCAGTACTCTTTAGCTTGTGCAGACAGGACTTGTTCACCACTGTATTTTGGCCTAAATTTTAACTTCCCCAAGCCAGCTAACTACTTATACCAAATTACAGCACAGAGATATCACTGCCTTTTCTAGGGCTAGATTTAACTGCTTTCCCTCAGCCCTTTTAAAAGGACATTTTAACATAACCCATATGGTGAAAGGATTTGTCCCTGTGGGAAAGAACTGATTGAGACCTTGGCGCACATCATTTTAGAATGTAGCCTATATATGATCGAACATATTCAATATCTTGGTTCAGTCATGAGTAAATGTACTGATCTACCTCCCACGGGCTATCTGAAGTTTCTGTTGTTTGGAGTGAATCAAATAATAAGTTAGTGGCTAACTTTTTATTTTCAGCTATGAGAACTTGCAAAACGCTATAGCAAGATTTTTTTACTATACTATGTATTTATTTTATCTTTGTATAATCAGGTGTATGACCACATAACAAAACTTTAACTTAACCGTACAGCACTTAAGCATAAAATTCATAATCCTTTGAGAGATTACATTTGCTTAATTTACAACACATTTTGAGATAAATCCAATAGAAAATTTCAAACCAAAATTCTGTTGCATTTTTCTACACAGATCACAGCACATTATCATTTCTACAATAAAAAAATGCCAACTGTGCACTGACAGCTGAAAAAAAAAACAGGTCAGACTATTTGCACAATTGCCCTTGTTTTTAGCCACTGAATTCTAGCCATTGAATCAATGGTAATTTATTACGCCAACACTAATGTCAATCCCATGCATTAGTTCCAACCAGACTGTTAGTAACTTGCAAAGTTCAGATGTCTTTTTAAAGAACAACTAGTACTGCAAGTGTGTTTTTACATAATAACTAGAAATGCAACTATACTAACTACTTTTGAAGCACAAGAAAGAAAACCACTACTTATTAAAAACTGAATTTTAACAGTAGCTACTTGGTGGAGGGAGGTGTTAGGCAAAAACAAAAAATGAAATATAAAAGAGACAAAAATGTATGGCACCTTAAATACCGACTGCAATATATTAATGTGAGCTTTCATGCATAAGTCCACTTCTTCAGAGTGGTAGGACTTAGAATACCACTTGGGAGTGGTAGGACTTAGAATTAAACTATGGCTGAACATTTTTGAGAACAACATCTCAGGCTCTGAAACTTACCTACACTAGTCTAGATATTGATATTAATTAAAGAAAAACCTAATCTATCACATTTTCTACACAGATCAAAACAAAGAAATATAAGGCCAACACAGCACAATAATGCCAGGTTCCAAATTCCACCTTTGTCATTCTTCAGCACATAAACAGTGGTCTTGTATTATTACGTGAAATATTTTATAGGCAACTTGAATTAACACTGAGTGTTCAGATAAACACATGAAGATAGAAATTTCTGGTAGAAATTTCCAAGCTATTCATAGCTGACATTATTCCAAAACATATGAAAAATACAGTAATAGCCTAACTTGTACATAGCCCCGTAATTTAAGAATGAAAGCAAGAAATGACATGCAGTGATACATGGTTTTGTTAACTGAATTGTTAACACCGTATGAAGGTATTTTATTTCTACTAGGCAGAAAAAGCATCAGAAAGCCTACTTAGGTCCATTTGAATCTAGGAAGTAATAAGCCATTAGGGTTAGTATACAAGGAACATGGTATTGAAAGAACAGAAAAGGAAGTCAGGTTTTCATCATAAAGTAGTTACAACCACCTACACAGCTACCATTTCATTGTCTGAGTTTAAACTTACTTCTTTGGAAGTTTGAGTCTCTTAACCTTTTCTTCAGCGTGCTCATCAGCAATTCCAACATGACAACCTAATGCCAGCAGAGTTCTAGAGAAAAAAATCCGTAACTTTAACAAACATAAAATAGCAGAACAAATTCCAAAGCTGAAACTCGGTTTTCTGTGTAGAGAGTAGTACAAGTGTAATAACTCAAATGTCCCTTGAAATTATGAGAAATGTTTTGGCGTATAGATTTAAATAATGTTTTCATTGTATCATTGCATATTATTTCACATCTGCAACCTCTTAAATCTAAAATTCATTTTGCAAACAAAATCCTCATAGAAAACAATCACTGATGCAAAAATAGGTTGGGAATGCAGAGCAAACTATGCTTAAAAGATAAGAAAGCTGAAAATTTAGAACCTCAAAATTTATTAGTACATTAAAGAAAAGCATGAATTAGCAACATTTACACTTCTCAAATACAGTAAATATGAATGTGCCTGTAGCTTTCGTGGAAAAGCTAAGAGCAGAAGAAAAGTTATTAAAGTCACAATAAGCAGGAATTGTCTGAGGAGATTATTAAGGAACATAATAGGTAGGTTGATCTTTTCTTTCCCATACCCCTATTGGAAATTGCCTTTCATCACAGCCTTTCTGACCCTGAATGTAGCAGCATCACCTTGGCCTTTTTTTGACTCTGAATGCAGCAGTTCCACTCAATAATTGTTGGCTGTCTCCAAACTAGTCTCCCAAGTTCCTCAGTCAAAAGATTCTTTCTACATTTCTCTTCCCATTTATTTACCTTGAAATACCAACTATAATAACCTATATCTTTAGCTTCTCATTTAATATCCAAAATATTCCACTTTCTGCATTTTACATTCTACAATGAGACATGGGGCTCTGAAGTAGTGCCCTGTCTCTCCCTACAGCCAACCATTCCAGGGAGGATGCCTCTCCTGGCAGCCAACCAATCCAGTCCAGCTCAGCTGCTGAGGGGAGAGGTGGGCAGCACCAGTGGGACTACATCTACAATTGACACAATGTTGCCACTGCTGGGCGCATGCACTCTGAGAAGCTCAGTAAGTGGACCAGGCTGGGGGGGGGAACGGAAGGGACTGCCAAGACACCTGGGCTGGTGAGCTTTGTATTCATCTCCCCCAGGAGATAAATATGAAGCTCCCATATCTATCTATCTATGACAACTTGTTTTTAATTCATTATCATTAGTACTTTTAAACAGAGGTACTTCAATGTACTCGAAAGTTGGAAGTAGAAAAGAATGTCGCGAATTTATGCAATCCACCTTAATTGGTGAATACTTTATAGAAGTTATACATAAAGCAGATTTTTATTATTTACTATTTGTTTGCAGTAACTTAAAGACTTATATAATCAGCCAGTGTGTGCCACAAACTTACTTCAGTGTTTCTAGTGACATCTGAAGATTATAATTTCGTTCTTGTTCTGGCAGCTTTGCAAACTCAACCAAACAAGGATGCTGTCGCTTGTTGTCATCTCTAACCTGCAAGATAGGAAAGTATGGGCATCAACATGTCTTTGAATTGTTGTCCAATCTGGTTTATTTTACTGATAATAAGTAGGAAAAAAACAGAACTATTTTCAGAATTTGTATTTTATTTATTGCATTTTTATGATTCCAAGTCCTATCCCAGAGAGACAATTCGGAAGAATATAGTCAATGGTATTTTAGGAGGGGAAGCACACCTTCATTTGATACCCAGTGTTGACTCCTTGACCTCCATCTCCCCATTCCTCACTAGGTCTATTAAATCTGCTTCAAATAGACTTTTTTCTACATGAAAACGTGACGTAATGATTTCTGGTCCATGAAATCATACATGTGGCTTAATCTTCAACTATTATAAAGTATTTGAAATTATATCTAGGGATGTGAGTCTGGATTTGAAAATATTCAGAATTCACTGAGTAATGCCATATTCTGATTGTTCCAAAATATATCTGAATTCAAATTTGATAGCCTCGTGGCACAGTGGTTAAACTGCTGTACTGCAGCCAAAACTGTGCTCACGACCTGGTGCTCAATCCCAGGTAGCGGCTCAAGGTAGACTCAGCCTTCTATTCTTCCGAGGTCGGTAAAATGAGTACCCAGCTCGCTGGGGGGGGGCGCAATGTGTAGCCTGCATCAAGGGTGCTTGAAGCGCTATGGGGTGGTATATAAGCAGCACGCTTTATAATAACAACTCCTAATATTACAAGTCCCATTTATTCCTATAGATTAGAAAGGAAAAAAGGCTAGGCTTCTGCTTGTGAGAAGAAGAAGTGAAAGTGAAGACTGCCGTGTTCTGCTCTAGAAGACAATCTGATCCTGTTCTTCTTTGGGTAGAGTCTGCAGAGGGTATGAAATGTGGGTGTGAGGAGGGATGCAGGAATATTGCCTACACCCACTGCGGCAGCTTCTACCGAGAGGAGTGGGAGAGGGAGAAGAAAAAGACAGTTGATAACTGTAATTATAAGCCTCCCGAACAAAATCTGACACCCAGCTGCCTTGTTCAGTATTGACACTATGAAAGAGCAGCAGGCAGCAATACAGAGTGTGGGTGCCTCTGCCGAGGAGATGGCAGAGAAGCCTCTGCTACAAGGTGGGACAGATAGGAATGAACCTCAACTATTTTCAGTAACCTCTTTGTGCAATCCAGCCAGGCTAAAAACCCAAAAAAGATGGTGAAGAAGAACATTTCTCCCAAACAGCTGATATGCCAGACAAGGACAAGGAAGGCATCAGCACTCAGACTGACACTGTCATTTTGGGTAGCAGCAGTGTTGCTACTTTTGTTGTTGAGAAAGATTTATGAAGAGTACCAGGCACTGCATTCCATGCTGGAAAGAAGGGTTTACCTCCAGCCCTCATTCCCAGCAAATCTCCCCTGTGCAAAGCAGCATTGTGTTGGGTGGGAATCCTCCTTAGGACATATACATCTAACATGGGTGAAGAAAAGACTGAGGCGACTCAGGGGGGGCACTACTTCAGAAGCATGTAACACTGAAGTCATCCCTGCCCCTCCAGCTACACTTGCCCCACCAACTGCCAGAACTAGTAATGATAACAAGTTCGCAATCCCTGTTACGAATGCAATCCAAAACTAGAGCTCCCGAGAAGTCAGTAATCTGAAAGCATTTGCAACAGTGTGCAGCAGATGCTTGCATGGCTGAGAGTACGCACTGCAAAAAGGTCTCTGAGCATGGGCAGGACTCTCGAATAGCAGGATGCTCAGCCATCTGAAGACTCAGACTATAGGTTTATCTCCTTGTGGAAGGAGAATTATGTTCTAACAACCCTCCTGGACCTGCCCTGCAAAAAAAAAAATTAAACAGTGGGCAACAAATATTAATCAAGAGAAAGATGGGGGGAAAATGCAAACCAACTTTCCATGACATGCAGCTAGTAAAAAAAGTCCAATTAGCACTGAGGAGTCACACAGAGCAAGAAGAAACTAGCAAGGTTCACTGCACCCCAAACAGCAGTACCAGCAGCTGTAGTCTAGAATCCAAACTCCTCACCCCTGCAACAACAGGGCAAGCTTTCTGAGACACTGTCTTGACAAGCATGGCATGAGTCTGTCCTCCAGATACATCGCCCCAGAGAAAAGATATGGCATAGGTAGAGGTACAGCCATGATGCAGGAACTCTAAAAGCCAAAAGTGACTGACCTCTTGCTTTACTGTGAAGGAGTCTGTTTGGAAAGATCTGACCAAAGTGACAGTGGGACTGCTATCTTGCCCACCAACAAGCAGGGAACATTATCAGTCTACACCACTCACACCTAGAACCCGGATCTGTAGAAAAACTCATTTTTCTCTCTATTGCTGGGTTTCCCTGAAGTCTTCTTTAAATAAGAGAAAATGGCATACTATGATCACGATACCTGGTATACCATGATTCTGTCTGTAGCTGCCTCCTTCTGCCTCTTTTATTCTTCCAAATTCTACTCCAAGACTATGTGCACTCACTCAGTTGTGCTGTGTTCCCTACTGTTGTCATAATTCTCACCCCCCACATCTGTTGCTCCAATCTGCCTGCCAGTGCTACCCAAGGTATTTGCCCATTCTGCGTGCAACTTGTCCTCTGCACCCCCAATGCTGATGGCATTTTCTACTGGCATTCCCATCATTCAGGGTTCAATCAGTATGTCCATTACAGTTATTTCCTAATAGCTAGGCATTGCTGGCTGTTGGTGCGCACTCCTTTTGTTTATAACTGGGAAGAGATCAAAGGAGACAAGAAAATCCTTTAAAAATGTTTTTACTATTTTTTTTTATTAAAGGAGAAAATAATAACTATAAAGTATTTATACTGACTGTTATGGAATTCTGAATATCTGGAAAATCTGAATTTTTAAAATTCCAATTTTTGAATCTGAAGGGCTATAATTCTGAATCCAAATTCCAAACCCGAATTTTGGTCATAGTGAGACATCCCTATTATATACCTATATCATGGTATGGACACAATTTTTACTCCTTATTTATACTACTGATATGATAAATCTACTTTTTAAAAGTAAGAGAAAGAAAGAAATTAAATATTTTTTTAAAAAAACATACAGGACCATATTGCCAACCAAGTTCAATTTTATTCATAACCCAAAGTTCATGGATATTCTCAGCCAGCTTTTCTCTAATTCTTTCCAGGTGTGGTGGTAATACAATCTAAAAATAGAAGAATAAGATATAAAAGGTCACAGAGATCATTTAAGAAAAAATAAAGCAAGAAAGTGATTCAGTAGAATAAATGAAGTTCATTACCTAAAGCTCTGAGCACATGGTGTGGAAAAGTGGCATGTGCATTACAAGTTTTGAGTAAATAAAATATGTTCCTATATATCATCTGAATCATTTATATCAGGCGCAACCATTCATAGGCCCCTTTCATTGTCATTCAAAATATTCTTCCTAGAAGTTACTCTGATGGCAGCACACTATTTCAGCCACTACGAAGTATTGACTATTATGCCAAACTATAATAGTCCATTGGCCCTCCAATAATATTACTTTCATACTAATGCTGATACACAACAGCAAATATTTAGTATAATCATGGTTTGTCACCGCTCACTCTTTGGGATTAATGTCAACATAATATTCACAACAGCACTGAGATTTTTCACAACAGCACTGAGATTTTTGTACCATCCCCTGCAACTCTGACCAGTACCAAGAAACATGTTCTGAGGGCTCCTGTCCCTGGAAAAGGTCTTCAGGGTGTATGGGAGCTACAGAAAGGATTTCCTCACTTCACTTGTGCTTACAGAATGTGCTTCCATGCGAATACCAGTGCTGGAGATAGCCCTTAATAATAAAATGTAACACAAAATTTGAAGCAATTGTTTTTTGTATACACTTGGTATTACTTAAAGATGAAATGCGAATGTAAACTCTATTTACCTGACTGGTATCTACAGGTACGGGAGTGAAAGCTGCTTGTGACAAAGAGATATTTGGCCCCAGTAAGTCTCGTGTGCAGTTGCGGTCTTGCTTGTATTCCCTGCTGTTTTCTACTTTCAACTTCTCTTTGGGAAGAACAGCTTCAAAACAAGGAGCATATCCTGGAGGTGGGAGAAACTTAAATTCCCCATGGCGGCCTCCAAGTAAAAAGCGCACTCTGTAAGAAAGCAATTTAAAGAATTTAAAGTTTATAGACTGACTCATGTATAAACCATTGCATAAAGCTATCCTTTACATATGCAAAACCTATGTAGTCATTTTTAAAAAATATTAACTTCTTCTCAAACAGGTTGCTTCTATACAGTTGTGCCCCACTGGACAATTACCCCGCTCTACAACAAATCTGCTTAATGTTGAAGTTTTTGCGATCACTTTTGTGATCACTTCACGATGTTTAGATCGGTTTTTTTTGGCTTAGCGATGGTCAGTTCCCTGCTTCAGGAACCGATTTTTCACTTTACAATGATCAGCAAACAGCTGATCATCGGGTTTCAAAATGGCCACCGGCTGAAGAAAATGGCTCCCCGCTGTGTTAGGGATGGATTCCTCACATTACAGGCACCAAAAATGGCCGCCGTATGGAGGGTCTTCACTGGACGAGCAGGTATTCAGCCCATTGGAATGCACTGAATGGTTTTCAATGCGTTTCAATGGGATTTTTATTTCGTTTGACGACGATTTCACTCTACAGCGATTTTGCTGGAATGAATTAACATCGTCAAGCGAGGCACCACCGTACTTCTATATCATGCCTCTATATAGAAATTATTCACTAAGATCTCTATAGTTATTTGCAGTGAAGTGCTATGAACATGACACAAATGTCACTACTAAATGAAAAAACAAGCAAGAGAAATATTCAGCATGTTCAGAGAAAACATTAGGATAGTGTCACTAACTTTATTCCTGCAGAGAAGCTGACAACTGGAAAGAAAAGGCCGTCAGTGTTGAAATTCTCAAACATCCCCTGGACTGGCTGCCCATTTATCCTGAATGAAATGCTTGGAGTACTTAAGTCCAGGCAGCAGCTGATTACATCATCCGTCTTTAGCAGGTGCTGGTTGGGAGAATTTACAGATCGTGCTACGCAACCTGTGGAATAAGAATAAATCCAGATGGAACAATCAGTGAGTCTCAGTTAGGAAAAAAAAAACTACTTTCTGATAAATCAGGACAAATCAGTGGAAGAATAAACACAAAGAACAAAACCTACACTAAGCAAACTAGGTAACAGGAAGGCTCCTTAAGACTGAATCAAACCACTGGTCAAACTATTGTAGAATTTTCTACAGTGACTGCCAGTAAGCTCTCCAGAGTTTCAGACTGGAGCGTTCTGCAGTCCTATAGGGCAATCATCAGGCAATGAATTTTAGACAGTTAGTCTGCCACGCATGAGCACAAGCATTATATCATTGCTTCCCCTCCCACATATTATTCAGGGAATGTTATTTCCATTACCATTCAAGTACTCTGTATGTTTAGAAAGCCCTAGAGGGGTCACCATAAATCACAATCAGCTTGACAGGACACGGTTATTATTTATTATATAACAGCTACAAAATGTAATGTGTTAAGATACTTGATTTGTCTTACCGGACCATAGATGAAGACCATCAAAGCCATAGGAGTACAAGTCATCACCAACACCATTGCCTCCCCATTCTTCTCCTCCCACAGGGTAAGGTGAATAGCCTTCTGTTGAAGCCCAACCAACACGAAGATGAGTAGCTTCTGCTGTTGTAAATGGCTCCACAAAGTCAACCATTAACTCATAATACCATTTCTTGTACTGAGCAGAGCCCTCACTGATTCCAAGGAAAATATTGGGCCTCATGCTGAATATGAACAATAACATATATTTAAATACATCAGAAAATCAAAGCATTATGCTGTTCATTTCTTAAAACATTTTTATTTCAATTTTTGTTCTCTGTCCCTTTACCACCAAGACATGTTGCAATAAAACTAAAATTATTAAAGTAAGAGATAACTAACAAGTTTTTAAATTATCATTCTATGCAGTTGCACATTTTAAGCAGCTGCAGTTTCCTTCACTTTGTCTAGAAAGCCATTTCATCAAGAAATACAAGGGAAAATAAGCATTTACCAATATGACAAACGTTCTCTACTAACAAGGAAAACCATTGAAAATTTGCCTGATTTGTTCCACAGCTTGGAAGTTTTTTTCTCCAGACTATAGCTTCCTGAATCATGCAGCCAGCATGGACAAGGGCCATACTATTTTTAAAAAAAAACTTTTCTAAACACTAACTTGCCCAAGCATTTATAGAAGTGTGTGTGAATATATAGGAGTATGATGGGGCAAGGGAGTCTGGATGTTTTGTTAGTATGAGAATTTGCTGCTGATAGCAAAGAAAGTAGTGAGGTGAAAGAGAGTGAGCATCTGTTACATTGGGCTCTTTCCATCTGTTCTGCCTTACCTAGGGAGAATTCTTTATATTTTTCCCTTTTCTGCTGCAAGTTTGGTGTGAAAATATTTCCTTTTTGTTAGTTCTCTTTATGTGAACTGTTTAATGAATGTCATTACCTCAGTATTAGTATTGACTTCTTGGTATATGTTGTTTTTATTTAATTTTTTCTCCATAAAAATATATGCCAACATGTGTTAGATGTATTGTGAAGTATTTAAGCTGTATCATAACTGATATTGCATTTGCATGCATTGAGAAGCACTTTGGTTGTGGAAAATGTCAAAAATGTGGTATATAAATAACCATCATCATCATCATCATCATAATCTATTGTTTTTACCTGCTCACATGATTGACAAGACGTGTCTGAAGAAGGAGATCTCTTCCTGGCAGAAGATTGTCACAGATCAAATGTTGATTAGACCGCACAGCAACTCCATGGCATACACACAGAGAACACAATACATCTAAAACCTGAGAACAAAAACAATAATGCTAGTGGTTATAAAGTGTTCAGTCCCTATGATTATGCTTAAATAAACTAAGAGACAGACCAATGGCATTTACATACTTTAAATATTGACCTTACTCTAATTCATGATAATTTAGATTAACAATCAGATTTAGTTATCAAACTCTATTTCTTGCTATTTAAAACCCTTCTAATTAGATTACTCATGCTAATGATGACATGACATTTCCAATCCAGTGTTATGAATGTCTTGCGTACCTTATGGTTTCTTCCATGTTTGTCCAAAAGACAGATAATGGATTTAATATGACCTTCTTTAATAATATTTAATGCTTCTGGGCTTTCCACCAACACACAATGTAAAACTTCAAGAATTCCTAAAAATACAAATAGACCATAGTTTATTGCTTACATTATCTCAGAATCATACAGGATGATATGCATAAACAGTCAAAATTATTTTTGAGACACTCCCCTCTCATAGTTATTTGTGTAGAGGGGAAAAAGAATGGGTGGTAACACTATTGCTGCCATGCTTAAGAAAGTATAGAGATGGAATCTATTAATTCAGCTGAAATCAAGCCAATTGATTTTGTTCAGTCACCATGTTAAGTCCTGGAAGAGGAACGTATATTCTTAGAGGCTGCATGTGACCCTTGGTGTAATTTCTGTTGGCCCTCAGCATCTTCACACTTCCTGGATACTATGAGCCTATTGTTAGTCTTTGAACTGCCACTCAGGCTTCCTCTTCTACTTTTTATGAGCAGGAGACAGGGTGGCACAGAAAGAGCTAACCATTCCTGCAGCTTCTGCCCACTACCTCCTCTGTTGGTCTTTTGTAGAATGTAAGACTTGTGCTGGATTGGACCAAAGCCCTATTTCATCCAACATTTGGTTCGCACAGCAGCCAATCTATGTCTATGGAGAGCCGACTCATAGACTAAGATATATTGACACTGTAGTCAGGCATCCTGGCTAACAGCCATAGAATGACATTCTCTATGAACTTCTCCAGTCACCTTTTAAAGCCATCAAAATGGGCAACCATCACTACATCTTATAGCAATGAATTCCCCAGCTTAAATATATCCTCTATAGACTCCTTTGGATGTCTTGGATTTCCTGTCATTCATTTTTAGTGAATATCCTGGATCTTGAGTATGAACCACCTTATCATAAGCAAAATATTTTTCATCTCCTGCTGTGTGATAAGGAGGAAGACTTTGCTAGTGTCTATTTTCAGTTTTCCCTACTCATGTGTTATCATTACATACAAACAATGAACAGCAAATTTTGACTAAATACAGTATAAACAAGCCAGGCTCAGACCCAAAGCTTTGGCTTAGTGTCTAAAATCTGCAAATGAATACATTTGTAAAGCTAGAATTCTAAAGATTCGAGAATAATTAAAATAAAAATCAACATATTCAAGACTGCAAGAATGAACAGGAATTGTTCATAAGCATACAATTTACTGCTCTGAAGGAGTATTAAAAAAATAGAAATACAGACAAATAACTCATTTTTGTACACATTTTCTACATATCACAACTGAGAGATGAAAGATGTTCCTATAATAGCAGCAGAATAATTGCATAAAATTGAGATAACAGAAAAGTAGAAAGCACTAAATCAACTGTGACCTCTCAATTAGCCAAAATTATCAATCAAATAAAGCAGCAGCCACTGCCATTAAGTACCATTAAACTTAAATCAGATTCCTGTAATGCTGTATTAAGATGAGCTTCCGTAGGAGCAGGCATGATTGCTCCAGGAGATCTATTAATTTAGATTTAGCAGGGATAAGGAACACAATTAATTATGGCTAGCTGTTGCTGCTACAATTAGACTGCAACATAGATTCAAAAGTAAGCCAGAACACATGAGTCTTCCTAGGCACCAACCAGGAATTATTTTACCCCTTATTTAGAATCATATGAACTCTTAGTCCATACCCACAGAAAAAGAAGAAAACTTAAAATTTAAAAAACTATACCCATTAGGTTGGCCTTTGCTTATAAGAAAGCACAGGTTATCCTAAAGTTTAGCTAACCTGACAGCTACACTACCAAACCAATGGCATTTTACTGTAGAGCAATCTACCATTATTGTTCTGTATTCATTACTTCAAATTTACCTATATAACACAGGTAAGAACATTATGAACCCACTTTTGACCAACAGATCTCCTTCAATACTTCCTCCTGTTGTTGCCAAGAAGCTGGGAAACCATAAAATATGCTAATGAACGGACCTATACAGTTTTGGTTTTCACATATCAACCCTACGATGTCACCTATGCCTTGAAGAGGCTGTAAGTGTAAGAGGTCATTTTAACACCTCTGGTGACACTGAACAAAAGCAGAGCAGTTTTGAGAACAGGTGTTTAATGGGGGGGGGGAATCACAAATCAATCAATTACTAAATCCATAGAAATAGCACTTCTTATGCTTTTCTTAGGGGACAATGAGTCTATTTTATATAACAGGCCATCCTCTAGTAATAGCAAGACAAAATACAGTCAAAGGGTGGGGGGGAAATGCAGGGGTATCAATCACAACATAGTATCCTAACAGAGTATGGCAGATAGCATTGCTGGAAAAATTAAACACCACACTGCATGTAAAGGAATACAACATTTGGATTCTTATGCAACAGACAGACACCTTCTTGTTATTTCTATGAATAGAATAGATAACAAGAGATTCCCTGATGAATTCGGAATGAGAACCGCCTTCCAATACGGATTAAGTTCTCAAGTCAAGACCCCACTGTACAGTTTTGGTTTTCACATATCAACCCTACGATGTCACCTATGCCTTGAAGAGGCTGTAAGTGTAAGAGGTCATTTTAACACCTCTGGTGACACTGAACAAAAGCAGAGCAGTTTTGAGAACAGGTGTTTAATGGGGGGGAAATCACAAATCAATCAATTACTAAATCCGTAGAAGTAACACTTCTTATGCTTTTTCTTCGGGAGAATGAGTCCATTTTATACAACAGGCCGTCCTCTAGTAATAGCAAGATAAAATACAGTCAAAGGGGGGGGGGAAATGCAGGGGTATCAATCGCAGCATGGT